TTGGCTTCCACTACCCAGCAAGAAAACAGCCGCAGCAGCAACAGGGACAAGCCTCTGGAAACGGGCCTCTGGCTGAACAACAACCCTAAACTTTAACCCTACACCCGAAACTCCAAAACCCGAGCTAGGCCAACAGACCTGCCTGAATAGGCTCTCTTGGACGTTGCCCAGGAAAAAGGTTCTCAAAAAAAACCCTAGCTTGGCTGTCACCATGGCGGCCATGGCGTCCGCTTCCTTCCAGCAGATGGAAGATGCTCGCATGCCAGGCCCAGGGTTCAGTTTTTCGGGGGGTTGAGAGCTTCCGAGAAGGGATCCGAATGTTGAAGCCACTTAAATTTCCAGGTCTTGAATGGGGTTCTACAAGGGTTATGAGGGGCTTTGTGGTCTTCAGGAGATTTGCCAGACCTTCTTTCGAGGTCCCCTCTAAGCAGGATCCTAGTGATTAGAGCCTTTGCGAGAGGATGGCTTCTTCCTAGGTCTGCGTAGTCTTATGTGCTGCCCCCAAAGTGGGTTCGGCTCCAGTTCGCACCGGAGGCCCTGTGGATGTAACAGTCTCGGAGGTTTCGGAGATCATGGAGACCCCCCCAGTTCCGGGAAACTCCCATTTAGGCGTGGAGCTTGAACGCGAGGAATGGGATTCTAAAATATGGAGGGCATGTCCCAGTTCAAGGAAATTCTGCATTAAGGGGGTCTTACCCTAAATCCTAAACCCTCAACCCCTGACCCCAGCCCTCATTAATGGATGCCTCGCCAGAGCCTCGCGAGGCTTCGCGACAAGGTTGAGGATTGTTTAGGTGGATGGTGTCTAGGGTTGCTTTATGGATCTTTGTGTTGGGTTGTGGTCAGTGCTTCTGTTTCGTTTCGGGTCGGGCTTGTGCTATGGATCTTTGTGTAGTTTGGGTGCTCTTTGCGTCTTACGGGGGGCTAGAAGGGTTGAGTTGTTTAAGCCGCCGGGGGGGGGTGTGTTGCAAGAGGCCTGGGGTCAGCCCCTGCTTGCTACTTGAGCAGAGCGTGCTAGACACAAGCCCCAAACCCAAATCTGAGCTTCGCAAAATCGCGGACACACATACGAGGCCCAACTCAAGTTCAGGACCCCTAAGGCCCTAAGTTTCAAAACGCCATTCCCGTCGTTGAACAGCTTCAGGGGACGCTGTGGTTCCCCAGCGTGTGGCATCCGCGCGCCACTTCCGCGCTTTGATGCAGAAGTGCCGGAGCCGAACCGGATTGTTCATTCCACAGTTTTGCAGGTTTCAAGGTTTAGGGATCTCCTAAACCCTAAACCCTAAAACCCTAAACTCTAAACCCCTAAACCCTAAGCCCCAAAGCCCCAAAGCCCTAAACCCAAGGTTTCGGATTGAGGGGCTGCTGCTACTAAAGCTATCTGGACTTCTCGGGGGGTGTGATTGCGATGTCAGGGTCTGCCAAGTCCCTGGTCCGAAACCGCTCTTGAACCCTAAGCAGACCCAAACCCTTCAGAGACTCAAACTGGGGGTGACGCCGGTTCATAAAGCAAGGGCTCACTTCAATGTGATGAGAGCAGAGACGGCAGAGATAGGAGAAACCTCGACTGATGTGGCTGGTTCTCTAAATTAGGGTCTCTTATGAGGTCCCCAATATAGCACGGCACAACCCCTAAACCCTAAACCCTAAACCGTCCGAACCCTGCTCCGAGTCCCTGCTCCGAGTCCCTGCTCCGGGGGGTCCGGGTTTCGGAATCCCACAGCCTTCGCCCGTTCAAACCCCCAGCTTCTGAACTTTCCTGCGCACTCGACCAATCTAAGCAACGATGCAACCCTCGTACCCTCGTAGTACCCTGATAGTACCCTCATAGTACACTTCTGGTACCCTCATAATACGCTTATGGTACCCTTATAGTACCCTTGCAGAACTCCTGCACCACTGCACCCTAAGGGTTCAACCTTTAGCCTTTAACCCGACGTGCAGCAGCCCAAAGCAGAGCTGCCCAGGAATCTTCTACTGAAGCGTCGGGAGTGGTCTGCGCAATGCTGCCCCTGGTACCTTGTCGGTTTGGGAACCCCCACTCTTGTTGGGATTTGTCCTGGTATCAGTCGGGTGTTGCTTCATGCATGTGACCAGTTACTTGCAAGTATGGTCGTAATCCGTACAAGCAGTATCGTTTGCTTCTTCTTCTGCTTCCCGTCCTTTTTCGTAACATTTATCTGACGATCATTCCAGACCTGGGGACTCTCATGTAGCACTACATACTCGGATCATTACTTCTAGGGTCCAAGAGAAGATGCTTTCAACAGCCCACCAATGAAAACCCTGCAAAGACATAAGCAGAACAAGGACCCTAAGTCAGGGACTCCCCGGCCTTCAGCCCTCATTCCGGCTCAGAGGGACTTGCCTTCGGGATCCTGGGACTTCGAAAGAGATCTCGCACAACTGGCTTCTTCTTAAGGGGCCTGGCTTCGTGGGTTTGTAAAGGCTACCGTCCTTCATGAGGTTTTGTCTAGGATTTTCTCGGGCTTTGCACCTGAACTGAAACCAAGTCGTGGAAAGCAGAGTAAGCAGTAGGCTTCGGCACCCTTATCCAGAAGCTCAGAGCTCTTAATGAAAAGAGCGCTGACACCCAAACTCTAAAAGCTAAACCCTCAATTCTAGATGCCGACCTGGCTGTTGCAGAAAAGCCCTCCATCCTAAACTTCCCGAAGCGCACAGGTGTCCCTTTGCGGCTTGTTGCGAGCTGCTGCTGCCCCTGGGGGTCTTGGCCTTGCTCTGGTGGGCCAAGTCTGAGTGTGCCAGCCGCTTGGTTTCAGGCAGCCTATTCTAGTAGGTGGATATCTACATTATATGCAAATACACAACTAAACGAAGCAATAGATAACAATACATGAATAGATGGGTGCATACGTGTGTACCGTGTATATATATATATGTACATTATACTTAGGGTTCGTTATTATCGTCATTGCAAAATGTACCCCGAAATCCTCTTATTATTCTGAAGGTCCCTATATTAATCCCCAAGACAATGCTGAAGGTAGGCCCCCCCCCAAAAACCATCTCAACATCAACTTCTTCGGGTAATATACCCTTACAAGGTGGCACGTTTCAAGAGCTTGAATAAATCAGCATACTCTTCCCTCATGTTTCCAACCTACGTTTAGCGCAACACCCCACAAAAACTCCATTGAATCATGTGATCTTGGACCCGAAACGCTACACCCCAACAGCCCCAACTCTCCTAAACCCTGAACCCCCAACAATCCCAAAAGCCTGAAAAGCCTACTTGGAGCTTCATGGGTCGTTATAAGTCCCCTAATATGGGTTATAACTATAGCTACCTTACTTATAACCCGACTTATAACTACCCATGAACCTCCAAGTAAGCCCTAAACCCCTAAACCCTAAACTTGCCCTAAACCCCTAAACCCTAAACCCTTAACCCCTAGAAAGCCTAAGCCCTAGGCCCTAAGCTGGAGAGGTAACGGCCAATGTCAGCTGCCAGTCCTGGAGGGCTGGGGTGGCCATATGCCAAAGGACAATCACAGTGTGATTTGCGAAGAAGGCAGGGTTTAGGGTTTAGGGTTTAGGACCTTTAGGGTTTAGCGTTTAGGGTTTAGGGTTTAGGGACATTTCGGATGTGTTGGGTTTTCAAGTTTAAGGTTTCCATGCTTCTGTGCCCGTGCTTTTCTCTTGATGTTGTCACACTTGACAGGTGGAGGATGCCTCGACTTGCAACGACCTTCTTAGAGTGGGGAGATCTGCAGTCTTCCGCATAATCTCTTGCCGGTTCTCAGACTCTCGCCTCAGGCAGTCTTCTTCTTCTTCCTGTTGTTGTCGTCGGGTGTCGACAAGCGAGGTACGCATCGTCTCCCTGGGTACTCGCAGATCAAGGTATGGGGAATCACCATCATCTCATCACCTCGCGGCGTCGCGGCACGAGCAACATCACTCCAGCACCAGGATCATCACAACCGGAATCATCCCTGTCGCCATTGCCACCATCGCCGGCGGTCGCCATCACAGTCTCTGCACCGGCACCATCCGCCATCACCAGCATCAATGCAACCGTCGCCTTCACCATCACCATCCCATATCTGCTTTGGCAGATGCATCACATCAATCACACCAGCATGCCACGCCGTACCATGTCACGTCAGTCGCACCATTGCTGACTTGCCGAAGAACGCCGGCCAGCTAAAGACATTCTACCCCCCCAACATGCCCACAACTCCCAGGCTGGACCCCAAGCATGAATCCGGAAGAGCCCCCAGCCCTCGAAGCCCCAACTCCCAGTCAGTGCCTAAGGCCAAAGTAGAGGCCTTCGAGACCTCCTAAAACATCTCCCTTTCAGGGGTCCTTTTGGGGGCCCTTGTTCTTACAGTGTTTTGGGGGCTTGGGACCCCATGCGTCAAACCTCGTTTGCACTCAAAGGTGCCCACCACAACCCCGCCCACGTGCTAGGAATTGCAGCACATGAGTAGAGGCGGACGCGTGCACCTTACGGGCAGTGCGCATCATCTCCCACACTCCCCCTGGCCCAGTGATCTGTGCATGCTTCAAACAGACGAAGCTGCTGGGCATGAGCCACCGCACCAATTGTTGGGCGCCCCCCCCCAACCACTAAACGCTCCTGGCATCCACAATCCCCGCTTTCTGAGACCAGGGCCGGCCTGCGAACTCACCGGTCACAAAGCCCTACACAACGCAAGTGCAGCCGAGCACATCCTCGAGTCACCTCCCAGATTCACCAACCTGCAAAGAGCTCTCTACACGGAGCTTGTCGCAGAGGTCCGTGACTTGGGCGTCATAACCTGCGTAAAACCTCAGTGCAAACATGGGTAGAGGCGGACGCGTGCGCCTTAAGGGCAGTGCACATCATCTCCCACACCCTAAACCTCCAAGGCCCTAAACCCGAAAGCCCTTACTTTAGAGGATCAATACAGTACATAATGTGCCCCAAGCATAGTGTCTCTCATGATTGCGGCCCCCGTGTTACCTTTTAGTCCCGTTAGAAGGTTGCCACTGCGCAGGCCTGCTTCTCCGATCCGATGGCATCGGTTTTCAGCAACGATCCTCCTGTGACACCTGGAGCCAGCACTTCGAGCAGCCTGTGCATCTTGGAATGTAGTGGCTCAGGGCTGTAAAGGGGTGAGTAGTGAGTAGTGTATCGGCTTCAGGGTTTGGGGTCTAGAGCTTTGTGTAGGGCTGTAGGGTTCAGGGCTCAAGCACATCGACTGCGTACGTACTCTTTCGGCAGCTGGGCGCGGCTGAAGCAGTACCGCCAGTGGGCAAGCTTCTTGAATGTTCAACACAAGAGTCATTTGGGAGTTCAGGACCGGTCTTGGTCTTTGTGGTTGCTGCGATTGTTGATGTTGATGATGACGACGACCGGAGATTTTATGGTCGTGCCGAGCCTTGAGGTCCGAGGGTAGTGTAGTGTAGTGGTCCCCACCGCACATTCTCTCCAGGCCCAAAGCCAATCCCTGAAACCTCGCCTTCCCCGCCGGGACAAGGCCCTTGGTCAGCATCCTCGCTTATCTCCACTGGACTGGCGAGCCCTCCGGCTTCAGAAACCCGCAGATTACGGCTTTAGAGCTGAGAGGTGTGGGGTTTAGGGATGTTTTTTCCGTGGTGGGGGTTGAAGGGAGTCTTGAGTCCTCACCTGCTCTTTCCTCCCGCGACGAGTTCGAGAGACGTCCAGAAAACCTGACCCCAAGATTCACAGCATCTCCATCCTCACCACGCAAGCCTCACGGTCATCCCCTAGTAGAGCCTTTGAACAATAGCGAGTGCCCGATTCTCGTGGGGTATTGCCAGAGTTGGATTCCAAGTACTTTGCTTTGAAGGCACCAGAAGGAGACAAGAACCTACTGCCAACCAAGATGAAACTGCGAAGTATGTTGATGGGTGCATTCTGACAATCCTTCGAAGAGCAGTGCAGCTTTAACTTATTATTAACAAATCTGCAAAAGAACATAAAGTCAAGTTGATGTCGTTAGTGGGGTTACTGCTGTCATCGCACCACTACTATAATGAACCTGATTGCGGTTGGCTTGTGACCTACGTGTTTCTACAACGATATGTCGAGACAAAGCTGACAACCAAAACTCAAAAGCCCTAAACTCCCATGCGCTAGAACCCTACAAGCCTGGAGCTACAGGAGTCAACAGACGGTAACTACAGGAGCCAACAGACGGTAAATTCTAGAACCCCTTCACAAGCCCTTGAAATGAAGCTCTAGAGTGCTAAGCCCTAAAACCCTACAGCCACAGGGCCATGGCCTAAATCGCTGATTTTCCAAAAGACAGACTTCACTTTGAAGAATTATGATGATGATTGAGATCACCTATCGTCATTAGACATTAGAATCATGATTCAAATTCGAAACTATTGGGGACCATGATGGTTATGATTCAGTTATGATCAAAAATTAGAACTTAATATGAGGAATTATCATGGTCATGATTCAGTTAGGATTATTGAAGTGCTGATGAAAGCCTCTGGTGTAGGCGCCTTGCGCTGGCGGCGGAGCACGCGTCGGACGTGCCGAAGCTCGAGAAGATGCGCAGGGGGCCCCAGGGTTCCATGAACTCTGGGATCACGGGTTTGAGGAGTTTAGGAGTTTAGGCGGTTTGAGGGGTTTGAGAGGTTTGAGAGGTTTGAGGGTTTGAGGGGTTTGAGGTTTTGAGGGCTTTGAGGGGCATGGTGTTCAGGATTTCGAGAGGTTTAGGGGCTTCAGCGTAACGGTGAACAGTGTGCAGGGGTTTGGAGTTCAGGATTTGGGGATTCAGGGTTCGTTGGTCTTGGGTTTCAGCCTTTCAAAAGTTGTGGGAAGCACTAATTCAGCCTTCCAAAAGTTTTTGGGAAGCACTAAGCGTTCCACGACTTGAGGGAGACATGGGCCTGCTTCTGTGAGCCTGTTGATGTGTCTTGAAGACATTCTACTCAACGGGGCTCTGCTGTAAGGGTGTTCGGATTCCTTTTCAAAATATAGTGGATTAAGGTCGAAAGGTCTGAGGTCCCCTCTCGGCCACAAGTTTGCACCGCAAGGCCAGACGATCACTGAAGAGTGGTTTGGTGACTTGACGATGCGGTGCCTCGGAAGATGGAAGGGTCCTTTCTTTCTGCATCCCTTTATCCACCCCTTGGAACACCGCTTAGGCTTGACGAATTGGGGCTTCCGCACTGGCTTTGTGACCCCGTCACTTCGTGAAACCAATGTTTTTGCTTGAATGCACCCGGCCACCACGTGCTCTTGAGCCGTTGGCTGGGGTGCTTCGAACAGTTTTTTCCCGGAGAGGCTGAGACCACATATCTGCAGGAAATGCTTGATAGGGTTCAGGATTTGGGTGTGTACGGGTTTAAGTCATACAGCTGTGAATGCAAGGATGATTGAGGAGTGTTCAGGCCACTTTGGGTTGAGTGGTCCGCTCACATAGGACTTAGGATCACAACTCCAAAGTTGGAGTCGGCTGATCCCCGTCTTTTCGCGAATTTCTGAAGGTTTGGGTGGTCTGGATTTCGGTGCCCTGCCGCCACGAATTCTGTGGCTACATAGAGCCTTTGGGACTGTGTGGTCGATTACAGGGAGACTGTATATTCCCAGAGATAATGATACCATGGCATACCCCGGCACCCTGTCTCCAATCCTAAAGTCTCAGCACCGCCAGGACTGCTACACCCTTGAGTCCCTGAACTTCTACCGTCTTTTTGGAACCCAAAAAGCCCAAAGCTTCAAACAAAAGACCCACACCTGAAGCCTAAGACCTTAAGACCCCAAACCTTGCGGCTTAACCGGCTTAACCCGCAAACCCTGAAAGGAACATTCCCTGCATCCCTCTGGAAAAAGATCTCCTCCGCGGGCTGGAAAAGTTGATGAAGCAGAAAACCGCTCCTTCGATGCGTTTTTGGGGGTTTAGGCTTAGGCTTAGGTTGAGGGTTTAGGTTTGTGTCTCTAGGCTTCAGGGAGAATCGTCGAATCGTCGAGTCAAGGATTACTACGGATTTGGTTGTTCGCTTCAGGCCGCAGGATTTGGATTTATGGGTTTATGGTTTTGGGCGGAAAGGTTTCAAGCTTGTTGACTGTCTTATTCTTTTCTGCAGTGTGTGCGTGTGCGCATGCGGGTGTGTACTTGAGTGAGTGAGTGAGTGAGTGAGTGTGCATGATGAAGTCTAGACAGCGAGCCATCCCCTTCTTCCACCTAGTCGTCGTCATGCTATTTGTTCCAACTCCTGTTAGTACTTGTTCTTTTGCTAATGGTGGTGGTCGTGGTGGTGGTGAAAGTCGTGGGAATGGTATGTACCGGTGGAGGATTTGTGGTAACTGGTAGTCCTGATCCTTCTGTGCTATTTTGCGCTCGCTGCTCCGTTCTCGCCAGTACCTAGGACTGGAGGAGTCGCCTAAGGCCTCCAGACTGGGAGTTTCAGAGTATGAGAGGCCCCCATGATAGCCCCGAGTCTTCAGGGAAGTTCAGGCTTCGGAACAGGTTTCGGGTTTAGGGCTTGGGTTTAGGGTCGAGGGTTTAGGGTTTAGGGTTTTGGGCGCTTGCCGACCCGTTGTTTTCGCTGCCGAGGCAAATTCAAGCTTGCCTTGCCACTTGGCCGTGACCCTGCGCCCAGGAGTGCCGTTTCAAGTGTCGGGGTGGTTTAGCGTGGCTGTGGCATGAAAGTCCAAAGAGCAGCAAATCCTGCGGCCTGCACCCTATCGTGAAACCCCTTAAAGGAGACTCTGAACAGTAGGAGCTCCTGGGATGCTTCCCAGGGGCTTTGGTCCGGAAGGCGTATGTCGTTGGTTGAAGATGTTCCTACGTCCCATCCCCTTCTATTGCTTTCGCCGTTGCTGTTGACGCAATTGCTGTTGCCGCCGTTGCTGCTATTGTAGCTGCCTACTTTGCTTCAGCACCTGAAGGGCCACCAGAGCCTCCTGCACTGTTGCTCAACAGCTTTTTCAAAGGCCTGCAGGGCTGGCAGAATTTTGATGCTGTGATTTCCACAAACACCGGCCCGAGCCCCACACCCCGATCTTCGCTTTTACAGTTTCCTGAGCTGGAAACAGCCGTGCCGAGGTCTCAAACACAAGACGCTCCTCGGGTCTTTTTCAGCAAAGTCTTCGTGTGAGCCGTAGCATCAGGAAAAGCCGTCCTTGCCGTTTACCAGCAGTTCTTGTCTGTGTAGTATATCACTGAGGAACTGGCCTTCCTCTCCCGGCCCCAGTTCTATCATGACGGTCCACTTGTCAGTGTTCTTTCGCCTGGTGTCATCATGATTGCTCTTGTGATTTGTGTCATCACTGGCCTTGTTCATAAAATTGTCATAACCTTATGAAGTACTGTCATACTAGTCGCAGGTCGGAAGGAAGCCTTCCTAGAACCTGTACCGTAGCTGGTGGCAAAGGCAAGGAGTCCTCCGTACCCTGAGCCTAGCTCAGAAGCAGACGAAGCCTGAAGCCAGGCGCGATATTTAATTACAACATTGCACCCTCCATGAACCCCGAACCCTAACCCCTCAAACCCCAAAACAAGGCACATGGAACCCTACAAGAACCCCGAGCCCCTTAACCCCTTCCCCCCCCGCCAAAAAAAAAATAACAGGCATCCTAAGCAAGCCCGGTTCAAGGAACCCTGGGGTGCTCCCGGGCTTCGCCAACCTCACGCATCCCCGGATCTTCACCGGCGCCGAGTTGGAGAAGTACTTGGACCAGGCTGGACCAGGCTATTTTTTGTAAGAGACCCTGGCACTATAACCCCAGTATATTAGGGCTCATATTAAGAACCCTAAAGAAAGGGCCCAGGGTTTCTAAATCAGGTTCCGACATTATTCCGAACCTAAATCCCAACGAGAGTAACCCGCTGGAGCTTCAAACACGGACTGGCGGGTTCCAGGCCCAAGGGGAGGCACAAGGCATGACGCTAGTGAAGGAAAAGGGAATGGAGTCGAATGGGTTCAGGGCGCCCGAATCTCCAGTCTGTCACGCCGAGTGCGAGAGACTCGATAGCTGCTCTGGGAAACCACGGTGATTCTGCTCGCAAAGATCACCCTGTATAACCTCAATCCTGCAAGCCCCCCAACTGTAGACCTTGAAGCCTGTAGACCTCTCATGAACAGACCACCTTCCCGTGATGGCCGCAAATTTTCACAGAAGGGGTGTCGCAATCAGAGGTTCACATGAAACGGCCGATCTAAGCCCAGGAGGATTATGGCTCTCCCAGCGCCCCGCGCCTCTTCGGGGCTCTGCTCTTCAATTCGGTCGGCGGGGATGGCGGAATGGGCGCCGCGGGCAAGTGGGACCCTGGGCTCAGAGATGTTTTTTGTTGGATCTTGCCGCGTCTAATGATCATCGTCTTGTTCGTCACCATTACCATCACCATCATAATCCCCACCGTGAAGAACAGCTGTGCTGATGAGAATGACGAAAGTGCTGAAAGAAAGAAGGTGATGATGGCGATGCTTGCTGCAGCTGCTGCTGCTGCTGCTGCTGCTGCTGCTGCTGGTGATGACGACAGCGGAGATGAAAAGGAAGTTGATGATGATGTTGTTGCTGTTGTTGTTGATGATGATGATGCCGACGGTGATTAAAAGTCCTGCAGTGATAGCGACGATGGCAGTGGTAGCAGAGATGCTGATGGTGGTCGTGAATATGATGGAGGAGACGGGAATGTGGAGGAGGGAAGGATTGGAGGAGGAAGGAAGAGCATGAGCCACGCAGCGAAAGATTCACATGCCTGCCAGAGAAAGAACCCAAGAGTTGGAGGAATCTTGGTGCCCGGAACTTGAAAACAGCTTGGGCGTGTAGTCCGACCATAAATTTCTTTCATTTTCGGCTGTCGCTGGGTAGATAGGACGAATCAGGACGACCCGAACCAATCACACATCTTTGTCTTCGAATCGAAGGCAAACTTCCACTTCCGAAATTCCCGTCTGAGGACTACAGCATTCGCCTCAATGTGTCGGCAGGCGAGGGGCACGGGCCGATCACAGCTGTTCGTTCTACTGACCCGAGACTCCCAGACGCGACGTTCGAGTCTCGTGAGCAGGGAACCCTCAGCAGCAGGATACTGTAGCGATTGTGAGAACCCTATATAAGGTATTCCCTGGCAAAAAAGATAGACAATGCTTCAACCCGGAGGTGCGAGGGACGGTGAAGGTTCAACGGTTTACCCTTTAAGTTTACGACAAAAGCACAGTACTTGCTACCATGAAGTCCTGAAGGCACACAAATCTACACGCGAGTCCCGTCCACCAGACCTCTGGACTTGGGATTGAAGACCAACGAGGACCTCCCGAGCGAGTTTTTTTGTTCTCTTCTGGGCTGTGGGTTGGTTGTACATGAGTTGCACGAGTGCTCCAGGGGCTTTAAGAAGGGCTTCTGTCGTGACAGCATAGGGGTGGCGGAGGGCTTTGGGAGTTCAGGAGATTATGAGGGTTTGGGGTGTGGTGGTTCAGGCAGGTTCGGGTTTAGGGATTCGGAGGTTCAGGGTTTCGGTGTCTCAGGGGTCAGGGGTCGGAGGCAGTTTCTGGTAGGGTTTGCATGTTTCTGGCTTGAGGGGCTTCGGCACTAGCACGGGCCAAATTGTCACTGACGAAGCGGCGAAATCCTGAACATCGTTGCTTCAAAAGCTAAGTCACAAGAAGGCCAAGCAAGGAGCCTGGAACAGAGTGACGTCTTAACAAGGAGAAGGTGGCCCTCAACAAGACAAGCCAAACGCGAGACACGCGCCAAACTCCTAACTACTGCCTGCATTTCGGATCCGCAAGTGCCCGAGCAGGCCTTGGTCTATCTCCGGAGGGGCATCTTGGCTGCAGTGAGCATAAGCGCGGCGTTGAAATTGCCGAGCGCCGACTCCCGGGTCGATAAACATCGCGCATGGATGTCTTTGAGCCAAGTCGGTGCACGACGACCCCTTTTTGGGGCCATAGTCTACGATACATCTTTGCTGCCTGTGACGCTGAAGTATTCCGAGCCATTCTCAGGAGGCTCTTGTGCAATGTCGTCGGGTCATGGGAGTTCACGTCTTGCCTTTCCATCGCCCGCCCAATCAGAAAGCATCGTTCAGCGTCCTGCCCCTCCTGTTGCCTCAGCTTCAGATTCTGCTTCCCCAAGAGCCGCAACCTCTCAACCCTGACGACGCTTTTGACACGAAAACACGGGGATCAATCCCAAAGCCGAAACCTCAAGCGCCTCGATGAAACCGAAGGCTCCTAAACCCAAAAGAAGGGCAGAAGGAGCCTTAGGTTCCTAAGCCCTACAAATCCTCAACATCTCCTTCTATGAAAGCTGCTAAGCCCTAGGCTTCATGTCTTTGCAGCTGCTGGTCGACCGGTACGCCATCGGCTGGCCCGGGGCAGATGTTACGGAGGAAGGGTCGATGCCCAGTGCCCACACGCTTGTGCACGTATAATAGGGGCCATAATAATTAGGATCGGGTTTTTTTTGGGTTCTATTATACTGGAATTATAGTAAGGAACCCCCAAGACCCTATTCTATTTATTAAGGCCCTTCTAGTAATTCTTTTTTCGTTTCTTGGTGTGCTTTCAACGAGGCTTCGGGGCTTCTTGCTACTGGGGCCACTAGGGTTTGGAGTCTGGGGCTTCAGGTTGATCGGTGGACCGTCTTTACGTGGCTCCATAGAGGATGCATCTTTGGGCCCTTTGGTCCCTAAGCCCCCCAAAACCCTAAGCCCGAACCCTAAACACCCTGAACCCACAGATTCCGCCGACCTTAACTGCTAGGGGGAAAAAGGTGCTAAAAAAAAAAACCCTAAACCCGAAACCTTAAACCCTAAACCCTTGCAGCCGTGGATCCGAAACCTCTGGAGGAGTCAGCTCCTGCACTTCTCTCAGCCAGTGGCCTGGACGTCATTGTTGGCAACGAGGCGCCGGCACAACACGGGGAGCCCAGCACAGAAGCCCCCAAAAAATGCTCTCTGAACCCTAAACCCGAAACTCTCTAGGGAATCTAGAAGTGATCTCGTCGGAGGGAGGCTTTCGAAGCCCAAGCCCAGCACCCTTGAACCTCAAACTTTCTTTGGGACCCAGAGTGGAGGTTTGCTTACGGTTCGATGATGCATTCTACATGCAACTAAGGCATCTAAGGTTTAGGGTTACCGTATATAATGTGTAGGATCATAAAGGACTGTAGAGGAACGAGATATGAAGTTGCTGCGGCAGGTCTATTTTAGTTTATCGACGGCCAAACCCCAACATCCAAGATCTTACCGCTTGGTTCAGGTCCCATACGGGGCGACATTTGGCCAGTATCGGCCAGTCATAAGACCTGGATATAGATCAGAAGGCGCCTCTAGTCGAGAGCTGGGTCCACAGGCCAAGCCCTTTAACGCTTCCTTGGACTCTCCAAGCCAGCGTCTTTCAACCCTCAGCGCAACACCGCCAGCCACAAGATCTCCCAGCCACTAAGCCTTGAAGCCTAAAGGGCCTAAAGCCCAAGCTCTGAAAACCCTCCCACAGCAGCAGCCGGGTCAGTGTTGCATTGGAAGCCAAACTTTGCCTTCTCTGCGAAGCTTTGCTTCATCCTGAGAGCTCCTACTTCGGTTTGCACCGCGCTGCGACGGCTATTCCTACTGTTGATGATATAGATCCTGCATCACCTTAAGGAGCCTAAGCTATGGGAATTATGGTACATTCCTTATTATGGGTAAAGCAGGATTTATATCATCAACCGTATTCCTAAGCCTTCACGACGAGCTAAGAACCACTCGCCCCGAAGAGTCAAGAGAGAAAGCTCAGGGAAGTGTGGCAACAACAGGCCCATTTCATGCAGGTCCTGTAGCCGCACACCAATCCTCCCTGAAATGCTGTCGGCAGACAGTGGACACCCAAATCAAGCTTGCCGAGTATCTCCGCAACCTGGTGGAGCATTAACAGCCCCTGAAGGGTTCCAGTCGATTTGGGTCACAGTATCACAGAATTCTGTTATTATGTAAATGTAGGTAGGGTTCCCTATGTCCGAACCTTTAGCTTTCGTCACCGTTGATGGTGGTAGACTCAACAGTAGGCACATACATACACGCACATACACACGTACACACGTACACACATGCATACATGCATACATGCATGCATACATGCATACATACATACATACATACATACATATACATACATGCACATACATGAATGCATGCATACATCCGTACATACATACGTACATATATACGTACATACATACATACATACATACATACACATACATTCATGCATGCATGCATGCATACATACATACATATACACATACATGTACATACACATATACATATACATATCATATACATATACAGACACATACACATACACATACACATACACATACACATACACCTACATACATACATACATACATACATACATATACAGATGTGTGTATACACTCAAGTCCTCAGGTCTGCGAGGGTCCAGGAAGACCCGAAGTCACCTTTCCCATGAAGTTGCTACGGGGTTTCCAGATTTTCTGTGTTAAACCCTACAAACGTTGAACCCTAAACCCTAAACCCCTAAACCCTAAACCCATCCTAAACCCCAATCCCCTACAAACCCTAAACCGTCTGCATGTCCTTCTTGATCACTTCCGAGGACACGCTGGCAGATGGTGGCATTGTCTCGAGCG